AAACATTTGATAGCCTGGCTAATGCAGTATTATGATAATAGATTGTATGATGAATAATGAGTAGTTGTTTAAACTGATTATGCGGAATTGTATGATAATAGATTGTATGATGAATTAAGAGTAGTTATTTGTACTGATTATGCAGTATTGTATAATAATAGATTATATGATATCTGAATGATGATAGTAACAATAAAATGATAGTAATAAACTTGATGAGAGTGAAAAATACTGTGCAGGGATATGTGGTGTGTGAGAACGCGGAAGTGCGTCTTGCGGCGGTGAAGTGTTGCGCTGAGATGCTTTCGCCATTCGTACGAGTCTTCGAAGTGGTCGATCGCAAACAACGTGCCGACGTGCTGAATCTGATTCAGGGTGTTTTGAGACAACTCGTCTCTGTAGCTGTGGTTGACTCGTGTACGTTTTACTTTTAAGTAGAATAGATGAATGGAGATATGGTAGATGCATAGTCTGTTGACGAAGACTCGACAACATCAATGAGTTGGCTCGAAATCGAATCGAATCTGTTGACTGTCATTTCAGTTGAAAGGTTGATTGTACTTGCAGTGGGAAGGCAGATAACTTTGAGCAGATAAGTTGACTTTCTTGAGAGAGTGTAGGGAACAAGGCATTTTGCTGTGTTGTCGGCTCTTATTGGGAAGCCGAGAGAAATTATCTTCGTTTATAGTGGTAGTTGTTATCGGTTGAGGTAGTAGGTTTATGGGTGGTTGAAGTGAAAGATTTTGTTTGGAGTGGTTCGAAGAGTGTTGTTGGACTTTCAGCGGTTGAGGTGCGATTGAGTGTGCTCAGATGCTTCAAGAATGCCGATCACGCGTTGCTGTCGCATCTAGCACAGGCGGATATGCTTGAGTTGATATTCATGAGTCTGCACGACGAGAAGCTCGAAATACAAGAAGAAGCAGTGGCATTGCTGGGCAAGTTGGGCGATTTGAATCCGGCATTCGTGCTGCCCAGAATGAGGAAAATTCTGCTCGAAACACTGTCACAATTGACGAACAGTCGAGTTGGAAGGTTTGTTTTGTTATTCTTTTTGCAATCCTTTATTTGGCGCAGCGGCGTATTCTGAAAATCTACTAATAGACTGATCATTCCTGTCTAGAAATGACTTGACTTGATGGCCATTCACGAAAACCGTCCAGCACCCGAAATTTGCCTTGTCGATGGTCATAGTTGAAGCAATTTTCAGTTCATTAGATATCCGTCGTAAAAAGTTTATCAGTTAGCATCTCTACTCTTTTGAGTTTATCGTTTGTCAACGATTGATTAGTCGTTGGATTAAGGATATTGTTGTATTGATTCCGTTTGGTCGCTAAGTAAGGAGCATCGATCAATTTATAATAAAGCTTGAATGTGGTTGTTTGAATGAAATAATTTAAGATTGGAAGAATACAGTGCACGTCTGATAGCACAAATAGCACATTTGTCACCGAAATTCATGCGACCCTACATGAATCCAGTGCTGTCGGCTCTCATTCCAAAACTTCGATCTGAGATTGTTCATGTTGATGTTACGATACAGGTAGTAATATATGCACAAACTTTATTATTAGTATTCATTGCATGTATTTAGCACCAATTTGTTAGCGTTTAATATGTATATTTGATGAGCTTGAAATATGACAGTTCGTAAGTGTAAAGGTTTGATGTGAGATTCATTCAGAAATTTAGAGATGGAGATGCTCTCGGTGTAGTGATGCTGCATGTTGTAGTGGAGGAACTGTAATGATTAGAGAGAGTATTGTGGTTGTTCGGTATTGTTTTTAATGATGAAGTATGGAGATATTCATTGAGAAAACGTTTCAAATATCCTTAATATAACCATTGTTGTGGGTAATGTTATCATTATTGTATTAATGTTATTATTCGTTGTTAATAATTCATTCACGTTAAAGGTTCTGAATGCAATCAGTGAGCTGGCGATCTCGGGTGGTGCAGATCTGGTGCGTACAATCGATACACTGTTCACACCACTGCTGCAATTTCTTCAAGATTCCAGTAGTCTGAGTCGTCGTGAGGTTATTTGTTATTATGTTTGTTGTTTTTTAAAATATACTCTTTTATGTTTGTTGTTTTTTAAAATATACTCTTTTATGTTTGTTGTTTATCGATTTGTTATGTGAATACATGTATTAAGGCATTAAAAACACATNTGCAATTTCTTCAAGATTCCAGTAGTCTGAGTCGTCGTGAGGTTATTTTTATTGTTGTTATTATGTTTGTTGTTTTTTAAAATATACTCTTTTATGTTTATTGTTTATCGATTTGTTATGTGAATACATATATTAAGGCATTAAAAACACATTTTATCATCATTTTTATTGTGTGATTTTATTTGCGGTTATTTTGAGTATTAGGAATTTAGTTTTTGAGGAGATATGAAATTGTTTGGCGGAAATGCATTTTCAGTTGACCAGAAATGTGACAACAATCAAAGAGTGCAGAAATATTAAGCGAGAGCAGTTGTGCGTATTAGTTGCAGGTGTATTGGGGGGGTGGTGAATTGATGTTGTGATCTCATTGAGTATGTGATAGGTTATTGCTGTTGTTTTATGAAGTGATAGGTGAATTTAATTTAAAGGCAGCTCTGCGCACACTGGGACGATTGTGTCAGAACACAGCGTATGTGGTCGATCCGTATCGCGATTACCCTGAACTGTTGGAGATTCTACTGAGACTACTCAAAACTGAAATGAGTGTCTCGATGAGAAGGACCACAATGAGGGTAGGGTATACACCAGTGTATTTATTTCGTTATTATTGTTGTTACTTTCATTATTGTTATAACTATTTTTAATACTATTTCATTATTATTATTGCTGTTGTAGTTGAGAATAAGAATGAGAATAATAATAAAATAATAATACCGTGATGACCAAATAATGCGTGAGAATGATGGATTATGTGAAACATTTTTAGGCATTATTTGGTCATCAAGGTATAATATTATTATTTTATTATTATCATTATTCTTATTCTCATTGTTGTTGAAATGCTAGTGTTGTGCGGGGAGAGAAGAAAGAGTCGGGAACGGGGTCGGGGACTCCGAATTCGGGGACTTCCCGCACAGCACTAGAAAATGCTAGTTCACAATTTCAGCTGTTGTAGTTGTTGTATTATTAGCGTGACATTTTCAATGATCTGTTTATTTGTACTTGAGTGATACTTTTCGAATTATAATTGCCTTGCAGGTA